TCACTCGAGACGTCAGATAAATAGTTATACAAATATTTCGTTTTTTTTCTTTTAAAAAAGACAACTCCCGCATTAGGAAAATATCCTGTGTCGCGGGGGACTTTACAAACATACATGAAACGAACACAAATAACACCCAGACTTGGAACAACAATTTGTGGATCACACAAAGTGTCGTCCCATGTGGGGTTTGAACCCACAACACTCGCGGCGTGGCGACCGCTTAAACCACTACGCCATCCGTGCAGTCGAATATGTATTTTATATTATATCTATCATCTATTATATCACAACAACAGTGTTTAGTTACTTCTATTGTTATCCTAGATGTGTGTACACTGCAGGCGGGTCACCTGATGTTTAATGACTTCCCACGTCCATGGACACGTACAAATTAATCCCCTCCCAAAATTCTGGGTTAGGCACTGGTGAACTCATCCACTGAAGAACGATAAGAACGATAGAAATGTTTAACACCGGTTTTTTGTGAGGCCGTGGCACACAGTTGTGATTATATTTAATTATTTTATTTCGTTTTTTATGTCAGAGGGGCAGACGAGCAGACGGTTCACTTGATGGTGAGTGACCATCACCGCGCATGAACGTCTGCAACTCAGATATCACAATGCCGGCCTTTTAAGAAGGAGTACACATAGTACTTTTAGGAATAGACATTTAGTACTTTGGAAATTATAATCCTTCGTTCTTTACATGCAAAACTAAGTGTATGTTATGGGCTCTAGAACACGATGAAATTAAGGCATTAAAAAGAAAACGAAAGCTTTAATGTATCATACAGTGATTTAAGTTAAGAAAGAAGCATCATTGGTAGAAAATTTGATAGTGTTCCACGCCCGCTAATCTAATTTATAATATGTTATAAAGGTTCTGCTTTAAATCTAGAAGTTTCTTAAGTCATTATGGACAGGTATGGCAAAACTTGAGGGAAGTCTATGTCCATAATGTGGATGTCTTTCGGCTGAAAATAAGCAGAAGAAGAACTTGGATGAAAAACTGTTTAAAACAAATATAGGAATAAGTCATTTTCTTCATTTGCTTCCGCGTCCTCCGCTTTTGGGGAGATTACTAAAACCTTAATTATAAATTATATTAAAAGTGTAGTTTTCTATTAGTGAGATGAATAAGAGCATAATATTAATAACTTCTTATGTAGGAGGAAGCAATTAGCCATAATATGGTATAATTTTAGACAACATCCAGAGAATTAAACATCTATTTTTAACCCTACAATTGACCCTATTCATATGGTTCTTATTATTCCTAATATTTAACCGTACGTTATTGTTCTATATTTAAACATATATTTCTACTTTCAACCCTTTTTGATAACTGTTTGCAAGGAAGTCAAACTATAATCGGTGAATTAAGAACGCCATTATTGTAGTTTCCATTGATAGGACGCTATACGGTAATTGATATTCAAGAATTGCGTTACGGAGATACTGATCATGGATCATAATAAAAATAAATTGACTGCACGGATGGCGTAGTGGTTTAAGCGGTCGCCACGCCGCTTCCTACTACGCCGAGTGTTGTGGGTTCAAACCCCACATGAGACGACACTTTGTGTGATCCACAAATTGTTGTTCTGAGTCTGGGTGTTCTTAATGTCCGTTTCATGTACGTTTGTAAAGTCCCCCGCGACACAGGATATATTCCTAATGCGGGAGTCGTCCTTATTAAAAAGAAAAAAAATATAAATAATTACACAAATTGGGACAGTCTGTGCTGTGGTAACCAGACAGATGATAATTATATTTATTCAAAGTATAGATAAGAATGTTAAACTATGAACATTGATAAGAAATAGGTAATTTAAATTTCACTGACCAGTATATCTTGTACTACCATAGTATAGACTCTTCGACCACAGGAGATCAAAAGATAAACTGGGTTTCTATAGTTTTATGTAGCCTTTACACATATTTTTTACCTTTCTAGCAAATATTTTTATATACTAAGATTCCGTGTACCATGTTTATGAAAACAAAGAATGTTCTTTACGTATTAATATACAGACAAAGAACTCAGAGACGCAGCGCAATCTTCATTGACGAAATATTCAGTAAGACGTACCTCCGTATACACATCCAACCGTAGTCGTCGAAGTCCGGAGACGCTCAGAAAGTTTACGAAGGTAACTTAAGATTTGAGTGCCGCACAACACACTCGAAGCGAGCATAATGCACGAAATAAATGCACGAACTTTGCCGAGTGGCCGTAACCATGCACCCTCGCTCTTCACCCGAGCGAGGGTTGAGCGCGCACACACTCGAGCACAATGGCCGGTTCCAATTATCGAGAATCTCGAGCAAAGGCCAAATATAAGGTCCGCTTGTACTCCGTCCGTTTATTTGTACTGTTACTTATCTTAAACTAAAATAGCAACATATGTTAACTGAAAAAAATAATTGTTTACAAATGAAATGAAAATAAATAAAGCCTTCTGCTAAACTGTATTAATATTTATTTGCGAATGCGGTTTCCTTTTCAAATAATATAGTATTTTAAGTGTCTCACTATCTACTGAAGTAGATCCATCTATTCTTTATAAATCAATAACAATATCGATAAAGCCATTTTAAATGTTTGAACTTTATGTATATAAGTTTTTACCTGAGCTCTCTCTTTATATGGTTGTATTAATTTTTACCTAAAACCTATCTAATGAAGCATGAAAATGGAGGGTTTTAAAGTTGATTACAAAAGTAAATACAACTTTTATATTTATTAATTAGTATTTTCAAAGAAGTAGCTTTTTCCTGTTTTATTTAAGATTTTCTTATTCAATTAAATTCGTTTTAAAAATTTGCCCACTAATATTTCAATGGCTGCACGGATGGCATAGTGGTTTAAGTGGTCGCCATGCCGCTTAGTACTACACTGAGTGGTGTGGGTCCGAAAACCAACCAAAAACAACTAAAAACAGCCCTTAGTTTAATCTCAAATACATTTAATAAATAGAGACACTCTGGATCGAATCAGTTATAATAAGAAAAAAACTAAAACAAGATTTATCTACTATTGAGGATCTATGACATGGATACACAGATACATAATATAAAACTCGTATATTATACACGTTCCCTAATTTTTGCGTCGGGGCTTAGAAATAAACTCTTAATAACTTTTCATATACCCCAAGGATTATAGTCGGCTAGCAGACCTCTTTTTAAAGGGTTACCGCTAATCTCCGTTCCTATCTTCCCTAAAACTTTGAGATAGTAAAATTAGGGTTAGCTACAATAAGGTAACAAAAAATAGAATGGTGATGGAATAATTACAGCAGCCGGGTATAATCGCAGATAGTAACCATTCCCGAGGGCACCGAAATTTTTAATCCAACCATGAGTGCTTACGCGGCCTGTAATCCGCGTCACGTTGGCAATTATCGGTTCAGTAATTAAAAGCCTGAGGCAATAGCCAGTAATTGGCTCTGTGGAAGTGGACGACCTGGTACCATCTGACCGATAACACACTGACACACCGGTGTTGGCAACCTCTGAAAAAAAAAAAATATTATCTATTATGTATAGTAAATAAATTTTACCGATGACAAACGTTAATTTATTAATGAGATGTTGTACCGAGGTAAAGTGTGCTGCTCTAGGGACGGGTATAACACTCTCTTTTTGAGTAGTCGTGTTAAAATCTCCAAATCGTCGAGGATCTGTTTCTCAACGGTCAGAGTTTTAATGTATAGATTTTTGTTCACCATATCCTCAGTGCGATTTCTATATAACTACGAGATAAGTATCCTTCAGATTGGATTGCAGATAAGCTTGATTGTGTGTTCAGCAAATAAAAATAACTGATATGATATAGGGAAGTCTTTATCTTTACTACAGTCATATATCATTACAGTCATTTTTTTTTGTTTTTTGCAAAATTGAAGTTTGTGATCGCATCGCATTGTTAACTCTTCAGGTATAATACCAAAGCCACATATTGCCATATAGGTAACACCATAATAGCTGTTAAAAAAAAGAAATAATTTTAAGTCGCAGAGTGACATGATTTCTGGTGACAGCCCTATAATTTCCCCGTTAAGGGTACAAATTAGGTAATTGCTTATTACCGGGCCTGGGAGTTTTATGTTTATTAATGTAACGGGTTCGCGAAATTGAGTCATTTTCAAATAAGCTAAATGAAAAATAAACGATAAAAAATAAATCCACCTTAAAGTTCACGTGGAAGTTTTTCCTGTTATTCTATTTGGTTGGGTATCGTCCTCAGTAAATAACTGAATGTAAGTTCTGATACATTCATTAAATGATTATGAAATTGATTTCATGTAAATCTAATATATATAAAATTCTCGTGTCACGGTGTTAGAAGTTGAACTCCTCCGAAACAGCTCGACACATTTTCGTGAAATTTTGTGTGCAAATATGGTAGGTCTGAGAATCGGCCATCTATTTTTCATACCCCTATTTTTTTTTGTAATTTTTTTTTAAACAACGTTTGCCGGGTCAGCTAGTAATATATAAAAAAAAGTTATAACATATAAAAACACAAGTGCCGAAACTCTCGCCGTAGTTCTTTGACTGCTAAAAGACAACGTAGTTCTAGAAATAAAATTGTTACTTAATTTCTTAATTAACGATATTGTACAACAAACCTAGTTTATATTAGACATCCTGTTATTTTAAATATTAGTTTTATTGTTTTCAATACTTTAAGCTTATATGTATAAGTTGAAATATTTTACATTTTGAGTTGAGTGAAGAATTGACACGACTTTTTTTTGACTTGGTACTTGGGCTAAGTACTACTTTATCCCCACGTTTACACGGTTTATAGTATCGATGTTTTGACGGTTTAATTCGAAACGGACAATCGAAATTTGCTTATTAAATAATTAATTTAATTTTCATGTAGTCCACCCCTTACTATAAATGATTCAATAGCGTTAGTGACAACATACTTACATATACATGTTAGAATACTTAGTCTTGAACACCCATTAAGATTACAGTATGAGATATATCTCAGTAACTTATGATATTCCCTCTGTAAATGTTCTTAATGGTAACCTTACAGTATACTGCAATTGTTATAAGGCACCGCAGTCTCGACATCTCGTTACAGAAACTAACGCGGTTCTCTGCGCACCCACTTGACGGCCCTCTTGTTATTTTCTCACAATAATGTATATATAAAACAACTTCGAATAAATACGATAAAACAGTAAGATTTAAAATTGCATGACAAAGAGAAAAGATTTAACATCTCAGTTCACAGTTAGTTACATAATCTGAATAGATATACAGACACTGTCTAAGCAGATGCCAGGAATGTAATTAATAACCTAGGTGTACAAAGAGCCTAGTGTCTGCGACCGAGTCCTGCTCACAATGGGGCTAATACAGGATTAGCTTGAATAGACTCCACACAGACTACAGAACGAGCTAATACTACTGTTGTATATATAATGTATAGGGTAATGGAAGGAATCCTGTGACCCGAACGCTTATTTAAATTAAATAATGTCTGAGAAAAACGTGTGGTTTATTTGTCGGCTGTGTAGACGTGGGCTGTTCCTTCAGGTTGTGCGTCGCGTTGGCGTTTGCTTACCAATTTGGAATCTTCTTGACTTCAATTAGATGACTTTGTGACCTTCGAGTAAATCAATAGGTGTGTTTTTTTTATAAAATAACAGACATTTGTATATTTAAAAGCTCTGGCTAGCATCGCGGATGTGTATTTAAAGATATTTACATGTAATTTTACATTTGTATACAACCTTGTTTATTTTGTGTTTTGATAAGTATTCGTATACTACACGCTACTGGTTTTTACCTGCGCCATCACCAGCGTGGACTTCGTTTATCTAGGTAAAAGGTATTCTAAAAATGATCACAAGTTGTAAACAATGTGTAAGCCTAATTTTTGCCGAAGTCGTTCAGCTCTTTTAAGCTTCAACGAGTAAAATACATATATCCATCCTTTTTATTATTAACTTATAAGTTCATAACTAACTAAACATAATTTATTAATATTCTTTGAAGTCATAAATATTTTACAAATGGTGTATCTGTGTGTATATCTTCATTGTTCATCTTTCAGATATCCCTTGATGACTGGTTCGTCATACTTGGGGACTAAAATATAGTTAAAAAAAAAACTTTTATATTTATATGGACAAAGGCTTTATGTCACTATAATTATACATAAGTTAACGTGCTGCGAGGTAGATGTCAAGAAATTAGATACATTCAGATTGAATACACTTCGACCACTAGACAATCTGTAGCTACCGAGTAAAAATCCAGAAATCTTGTTTAATAATAAACAATTCAATTAATCCAACGCTTTAGTATAAACTGTTACAATCCGTGTACATCACAGTGTATCCTCACAAGACATTGCGATAATTTGTGCAAATGTTCTCCTAACTTGGCTGAGTCCCCGCGCTCCAAACTTGCTTCCACTTCCGTATCTCGTTATCATACTAATGGACTCCTGGGGAGTGTATATTGTTGTATTGTTGCTCCTGGGCAACTTGCTATTACCAATGATGTCACTATACTAGATAATATGGATTGTATTAGTCACTCAGGAACCGATTAGTTTCGAGGCATTCTCTTAAGCTTATTAAAGATGGCTAAACTGAAGTGGTACTATTAAAAAATGATGGTATGATGTAAATTCTTTGTGAGCCTTGATCTCACGTGCCATTGTGGTATAATAAGGTATTAGATGGGTAATTGATCAACTGTTAGGAGCGGTATGTGTAACCGATTTAGATTTTTTGTTCCTTCAAGAAGTGTTTTTTTAAGGTAGTAACTAAGGTTTTACATCGAGATTTCGCCAAGCAACAATTCTCCGAAAATTTTGCCGTCCAGACTAGTGTTATGTTATCGAAATCAAATCGTTTCTTTTTTAGGCCAATTCTAATACATTTTGTTAGATTTAGGAAACGTTGTCTTGTTAAACATTCTGGTAGAAACATTGTTGGGCTCTTTAAGATATATATATTTTCAATGGATTTACTAAACCATTGATAGCTACACTCAATGCATATTTGTTCAATTTTTTTCTTTTTGTCCTCAGCGGGTGTCAGAACAGTGGACGTCCAGGCTGTGGAAGGCATGGTGGCGCAATTTCCCTGTGATCTGGGTACAGCCGCTAACGATAAGGTGTACATGGTGTTCTGGTTTAGGGATGATGCCGGGATACCCTTATACAGGTAAGTGAAACCTTTAATGAGATCGGAGGGTTCGAAATAAATTAAGCGTGAAAAAGATGATTTCTGATAATTTACAGACAAAATTATACCAAACATATAAATAATAATTAAAGACTATGTGTTAATGATTTGGTCTATTTTTATGGGTTTTTTTTCTTAAAACTTTCTGATTTATAATCATAACAAGAGATCATTTCATTTTCAATTTATTTGTTTTTAATCGGCGAGAAAACGAAAGATGTTCTCAAGTCAACGTGTATATTTTTTAAGTAAAACTACGCATAACTTTTTACAGAGTAGTCCGATTGTGATAATTATTTTTGTTCGAAGTTGGTCCCATATAAATCTGATAAAAAAACGAACCCTAAGGGTAGGATAACATTGGATGATTGATTGTTTACTCACTGATTGTAATGTATAATCACGCATAATATTAATTATATATTATATAAAGAATAAGTACATCAAAAGTAAGACGCTAGAGACCATCTACAAACGAGCTCTCGCTACATCTATAACTTAGTTAAGTTTTAGTTCTTTTTGTTAGCAACTACAGTCTACTAACACTTTACGGTAAAGAGTTTCCTTTACGTTCTGTTTCGCAATCCAAAATATATATACAATTATTTCTACAAAGTTTGAAATGAGAATTCCTTTGTGACTTGTTGGTTTGAATTTAAGCTGTTGTATTGTTGACAGACGCCAGACGCGGTAGGTTGTATCTGCAATTGATGAAAGGCCTGTATCTTGTCCAAAACTAATCGAAAACCAACCTAAGCTAATTCTTATCTATTTAAGTAAAGAACAAACAAGGAATTCATAATGAACTTATTAATTGACAGTACAGAATAATAAATATTGGGTTACACTATTTGTACAAAAACGTGATGTAAAAAGTATTTTTTAATTAACGGAGATTATTACATTATTAGGCCAAAACCTCCTTTCTAAGGAGAGGCTATGTCCACCAGTGGACTAGTAAAGGCTGTTGATGATTACATTACTATATGAAATACCATATGACCATAATAATGCAATCTAGGAATTCAAACTTATAAAACGTTTGCGATTCATACTTCGAAAACGCCAACGCATTATTTAAATTGCGAATTTGCACTGTAATTAATGTACGTTGAAATGTGAAATAAATGACCATAGTTTTACAAACAGCTGTATTTGTCGCTGTGTCTACGAGAGCGTAACTTAACTCCGCTCAACTCCGCGTCACAAGAAACAGGAGCTTTGTAGCGCAATAATTAATTCATGGCGTGTCGCGCCACGAGACACGAGACTCGCGGCTGCAACCGCGACAACACACCTCAACAAATAAACAGATACACTAATGAAAAACAGGTTCTTCTACACAAAATTATATTATTAACTAAAGTACTCAAACTTACATTTTAATTTATTTCTTTGGTATAGTTTTATTACTAATGTTCACAGAGGTCTGTTTACAAATTACTCGTTTCTTTTTGTTATTGTAATAAGTTTCAAAGTAAGATAAAGGGATATTGACTGGTTTGTTGGTCCAGTGGTCAGCGGTCCTGCCTGCTCAATCTGAGGTCGTGGGCTCTATTCTTACCTAAAACAAATACTGTGTGATAATTACGATCATTTGCTCTGTGTCTGGATGCAATTTTTCTTGAACATGTGTAACATTACAAATACATAAGTATATTTATTTTGGAACATAGGTGTTCGGTTGAAGGAAATAGGCTCGTCGTCGTGGTCGACGACGACGAATGGTCGTTAAATACATCCGTCCAACCATTCGTAGGTGAAGACGTGAGTGTGTGCGTGTGTGTGTGTGTGTTTGTGTGATACAAGTAAAATAAAAAGTTAGAAAAGTATGGACGCCTTTAACACCTCAGTGTAATTTTGTCAAAACGATTGGTTCTGTACCGAAACATAACTGTACTATGTACTTTCGAATACGATTAAACATATTTAGTTCATCAATCATCATCAGCAGACTTTAATAGTCCACTGCTGGGCATAGGCCTCTGCTTAGAAAGGAGGCTTTGGCCTACTATACCACGATGGCCAGACGGGTTGATATAGGGTTTGTGTGAAGTTTTCCTTCTCTTTGCAGTATTGTTATCCTGCATAGTTTACTCCCTTAGTTGGCTCTTACGACACCCACGGGATGAATAAGGGTGGTGACACTCCGTATTCTTAATCCGTCACCACACGGTATTTAGTTATTGCATCCTAATTTTTTTAAATAAGTATCTGGTCGAACGAGCGAGGCGAGGAGGCGAGGAGAATTATTAGCAGATATATAGTATTTAGTTAGACTTCAGGTTAATCTAAAACGATTACTTATTCTATACAATCCCAACGGCTCGCTTTTCTATTGAGGTAATAAAAATGCAAATTAGTATTATAAATTATTATAATACAATTGTTTTAAAGCTGACAAAGAGCTCCTGTTGCAGAACATGTTATTATATAAGCTTGATATATGGATGAACACAATAAAACGAATATGAAAAACTAGAGCTACTATAAGCGCGGCCATCACAGTAAACACAGTTTAAAGCCACTTATCAAAGGTCCCTTTTAATTTATTCAAGTTAGAATTATTTCATTCGCATAACGAGCTCACTGTCTAACTTTATGATTCCATATTTCCCGTATTTATAAAAGTTACCCTCGACGGAGTTAAGAGGCGCGGCGCGGTGAGGTGTCGCCTTCTGTTCATTAGGAGCCGTGTATTTATATAATTAAGGTGCACAATAAGGCCGTGTGCCCTGGCCTGGCGACCTCGGACGCACAACTTTTCGTATTAATTAAAAACGAGGCGTACCAACGCGTCATCACCTCTGGAAAATCGCGGCTAACCGTCCCGTCCCTATCGCTTCTCACATCTACAAAAGGTCCTGCTAAACTTTAATACGCTTTAAAACTTCCTGAATATTTCACTGTTTTACCCACTTAAGACAAATTGCTTGACCCGTTTTGGGGGTTATTTTTTCATCGCGAGTGAACTCGTCTAGGCGCGTAATTTCACCGTTCGTTGGTTCATTTCTGGTAGCGAATTTTACTGTTTTCCAACGAGTCGAAACGTTGGAACGTTGCTTTTTATAATCCGAGTTACAAGTTGCTATATGGTTTGAGTACACTCGGTTACACGTGTCATTTAGCAGTGACTGCTTTTTTAAATACCTAGGTAACTTTTGTTCGGCTGGTCATTAATATTATTTTTTAAATGTTAATTTACTAAATGGCAATTAGGTTATATAGGAACATCTTCACAGTAACTAAACATTATATTATAATAGCTTCTATCCACGGTTTCCCCTCTCATTAATGTCGTGTTATTCGAGGCTTCTCTAAATATCTTAGTGCCAAAATTATCTAATACCAAATTTGAGGTATAATTAAGTAGAATCTATCATCACCCCTATTCATCCCGTGGGTGTCGTAAGAGCCCACTAAGGGAGCAAACTACGCAGAACAACAGCACTGTAAAGAGAAGAAAAACTTGAAACAAACCCTATACCAACCTATCTGGCCAACGTGGTATAGCAGGCCAAAACCTCCTTTCTAAGGAGAGGTTTATGTCCAGCAGTGGACTGTTATAGGCTGTTGATGATGATGATGAGGGTTCATTAATAATTGTTAAAATCAATCAGAAACATCGTATTTATAATAGTAATGAGGTCATATATTTGTGTTTGACATTATACAATGACTATCGCTGAGTGGCATGAATTCAGTAAATAAAGGTATTAAATGACATGAGCGACAGTGAGGAACGACTCACATAAACCATGGATTGGGCACACGTGTGATTATTTAATCGCAACCGTGTAGCCATTGATTTGTTAGCGACTAGAATGATTTATGGGGCAAATTGAAACGTTCTCATCTAATACGGGTACATATTTCAAAGTAGGTATTTTTGTAGAATTTTGATTTGATTTAAAAAAAGGTCACTTCCAATTTAGGTAGTACCTATTCATGAGCGTTTTTAATACTAAGATGTTAAAGTAAGGTTGAAGTCTTTTAATAGACAGACTGCATTGTGCGAGATTGCTATTCGGTTTTTTTTCAATGAGTATATCCGCATAACTATAATGTTTTGAGATTTCATCATTCTGATTGGATAGCGCTACAGACACTGCATTACAGTGAGAAATTCCACATTGTGGGTCAGGTTTATATAGACTTACGGACTGCTTTTGATCTTTTGAGACCCGCTTTGTAAAGAAAGGATTTTGATATATTATGTTTCTAAATCTCAAAATCTGTTTTGATTTCATACCTATAAAAGACGAGTGGGTCCATATTAAACTAAGGTTAATATTTTTTTTTTGTTGCTGAAAATTCACAAAAGACTCCCCAAGACCGTGATCGTTGGCGCTCCATTGGGGAGGCCTTTGTTCAGCGGTGAACAGCAGTAGGCTGATGATGATTACAGAGCAAAATTTTAACAATTCAAAATTTATTTTTATTAGCATTGTGTATTTCAAGACGTCTACAAGAATATTATGTAAAAGGTTGTATATCAATCATTTCATAATGCTACATACAAATATACAAAATGTTTACGGAAATTAATGTGATTACGTAACAGATGTTCCTAAGTTGCACTAACTACATTACTTTTTTAAACTTGATCACCGTTTAAATCTCATCACGCTTCCCATCTAAGCACAGTCTCCTAACTTCCTTACTTAAAAACTAGGCTTATCTATTTCTTTTCCCAAGATGCAACATGGGAGAGAATGTTTTTTATCAACATTAAATAGGTTTTTCCTTCGAAATGATCAAGATTTTATAAATAATGATGAGATTTAGTGATACATACAATGCAGTTGGCGAGTTCAATAACTTCTCGTTAAATTAACACGCCGACATGAGCTGCAGCTCGACGCTATACGACTACAGACATATTGTGAACTGCTACCTCCTCCTCTATTAACTTTTACATAAATAGATTCCTATTATTTTAACAAAGAAAACTGCTACAGGGAAATAGGTGAGCCTATCTGCAGTATGGCCCACTAACGTCAGCATAAGTTGTATTCATTTAAATTAGTCGAGTCACCATTGTGTCAATGCTCAACACCTAACTCTCATTATGAACAGTCTGCTCATCATATCCTCTGGGAATGTAGTCTTTGGTATAATGAACGTAATATAATGCTGAATAGCTTGCAGGTGACATCTGGGGCGGTATACTATGGGGATCTTGTGTCAACTAGGGTGAATTTCCGTGCGTTTAGGCGATTCTGCCATACATATTATAGAAATCAAATATAGCTCATGTAGGACCCGTAATATTTTGTGGCGGTGGTGCTTCCCTGTTTAAAAGGGTGTATGCCTATTTTACTTCATTTTGTCTCCCGCTTTGCTAAGGAGGGAAGTGGATTTACTGTATTTCCAACTCCTCCAATTTTCTTCTGATTAATTTCGTTGTGGGTTCCAAGACAGTTTAATTTCTTCCTGGGACTTCCCGAGTGTCATAACTCGGTGTGTTCGTGGGTCACTGCTGTGGATCCTGGTGTACAGGAGTTACAGTGGTGGGCGTGTGGGTGGGATTAGTCCCAACATAACGTCAGCATCGCATGTACAATTTCTATTCAATTATTCACATAAAACAGTTTTTTATGAATAAAATCATTTTTTTAAGTAATGGTTCTGCACAGAACTTATTCAGAACTCATAAATTAATGTTCGTGAAATAAAAACTAGCATAAACGATTAACCATAAAATAATCTTAAAAACATAGACGATACGCTTTGAGGCTGAGATTTTGCTCAATTACACAATATAAACATAATATATGTACATAAATATACGTTGTCTATCACTCCAAAAGCATTTAAATCTATATTTATTTTAGGAGAGTTTTAGACATATGTTGTGTTAAATAATCCTTATAACCATGAAAATTCCCATCCTACGCCCTCCATCACGATGTTGAAGCATTATAGTAAAACGATTTACTCTGTGTCTACTAAAAGCTACTCAAAGGCTTTCAAAATATTAGGCATGCATCGCTGTTACCCAAAACTAATATTTTTAATCTTGATGAAAAGTCTACGGTTTTTTTTTGGTAAATAAATATTATTTATAAAGCTGGTTTATCTTATCATTGGATTCTCATTTAGCTTAAAAGTGATGGATATGTCCACGCAGAAGATATTTTAGCTAAATAAATATACATATATACAAATTTGATCAAATTCTCTAGTCTAAAATAGTGGTATTATTGTAAATATATTAATTTAAAATCATTAAAAGTTTGTGGTACTCAAATATTTTATAGGTATGTATATTTCAAAAATAGTAACAAATACGCTACATATAATTACCGTTCCAAAATTATCACTTTTGATACTTATATTCACACATGAGTTTTTCTCTTTCATATAAAAGAGTGTGCTTTTTCGTCATCATTATCAACAGCATTTAATAGTCCACTGCTGGACATAGGCTTCTCCAACGATAGAAATTTTTGGTCTACTATACTACACTGGCCAGATGGGTTAGTAAATGGTTTGTTACAAGTTTATCTTCTTTTTGCAACGCTGTTATCCAGAGTTGACTCTTGATAATTGATGAATATCTTACGAGTAAATTATTACTGGGAATGTAATTTATTAAGAGAAAATCTTAATGAGAGGGAGCAACACAATACGTAACTTTATTTAGAATTATACGTAATATACTCGTACTTTCAGTTAGAATTTCAAGCATCGAATTTTGGTTTCATATAATGAAAAATAAGGGGATTAAGGGGAGTCTAAAAGTATCGTCAGTGGATGAAAAAAAAAGTTCAATGCCTTCCTATTCCTTTTACTTTTTTTCCATCCATATGTGGAATTTGTGGGCGTTAGTCAATTGTAATTGAGACAGGAGATAAATAAAATACGACTCGGTATCGTGAATGGTGCCATTAAATAGATTACATAAATAGCTCGAGATTCACTAGAAACGCTATTCAAATTATTCTACGTCCATTATCTTGTAAATTTATTGTGGTTATTCCGCTAAGGTTACACCCCCCTCACCAACAGTCTATATAAATACAATTATTTAATTAATAACAAAGAGCAGTCTATTAATAGAATCAAATGTACAGTCGACGGAAAAATTATAAAAGTTCTATTTTTTTCCCTTTGATGTGTATTAAGAGAACTCTCAAAGTAGCGTCAGTGGATGAAAAGTTGGGGAGTAAAACTCTATCGTGGTAGAGACGCATTGTGACGTGAAGAAAGAAGAGAAGCGTGGTGAAGAGTTTATTGTTATGATATAAGAGTTTGACTGCACGGTAGCTAGCGTAGTGGTATAAGCGGTCACCACGCCACTTACGACTACGTTGAGTGTTGTGGGTCCGATCCCCACATGGGACGACACTTTGTGTGGTCCACAAATTGTTGTTCTGAGTCTGGGTGTTTTTGTGTCCCTTTCATGTATCTTTTTAAAGTCCCCCGCGACATAGGATATATTTCTAACGCGGGAGTTGTCTTTTTATTATGTTAGAGGGGTAGACGAGCAGACAGGTCACCTGATGGAAAGTGACCATCGCCGCCCATAAACGTCTGCATACATGATTTCTTACCAACAGTTACAAAGAAGGTTACCAATTGACAATCTAATATTTGTTTTAAGAAGATATAACTCCATTAGAGAAATACTGATAAAGCCAGAATAGATTTCATAACCACATAAATCCAATTATTCCATACTACGTAACATCACTGTAACATCGTAACTGTAACTTTCTTCCAACTATTTATGAAAACGCATCTTGTAAAATAACCACATAATATTTTAAGAACAAATTCTTCATGCCAGTAACTGAATATACCGCAAGAGGATTACTTCTAGTATGATATAATAAATCTTAATGATGTTAAGTACTGAAGCACTTATGTTCG